GAGAACCAAATCTCAAAATCAGGAGTCTTATAAAGTTTTGGCACTGATAATTTAAGTGTAGTAGGAGACCTTATTATCAGTGATAGTCAGCATTTCTTCATGGCTTGTCAGAGAGGAGCAATGCTTTGTTTAACATAAAAATAAAAAAGCAACAAAGAAATAATTAATTAGAATGATGGCCATGCCAACCTTTCTTAGGTTTTCATGGTCAAATTGTTCTGTCTTGAAAACAGAAGCTTTACTTGGGGTAAGTTAGAGCAAAGCAGAGGGCAAGATAGTTATTTTTTTTTATATTAAAGAAAATATCAAGCAAATTTTGACTGGAAAAGAGGAATTAAAAGCCCAGACGAGTTTGTCATAAACAGAAAATAGAAAGAAATTGAGCTTTCTTGATTAATTACTCTTTTTTTTTTTGGAGGCAATCAGGATTAAGTGAGTTCTGAGGTCGAACTCCTGTTTTCAGGGTCCATGCTCTATTCCCTTGCACCACCTAACTGCCCTTTGATTAATTACTCTTTAAAATTCTCTGTTTTTCAACCAAGAAAGACAATAACTGAGTATCACAAAGTTTTGCTAAATTGTGAAAAGGTAGCTAAATTATAAGTAGTTTTTTGTTCAACATTCTGCAGGTAGAACTGCTATTTGGATAATTATTACATTCAAAGAAACTAATAGAGCCCCAAGGTTTCTTTCAAGGTAAGCTTAAAGGTTAAAGCTTATATGAGACCTTTCCTAATCTCTCTCTTTCATCCATCACACCCCACCTTCAGCATGCCTTCCCTTGAAATTACTTTGAGTTTATCTTTGTATTTATTTATATGTGTACATATTGTTTCTTTTGGTAGAATGTAATATCCTTGAGGACAGGGATTGTTAGTTTTTAGTTTTGTATCCCTACCACCTAGCCTAGTGCCTCCCACATAGTAGGTGAACACTGAATGCTTGCTCTTCAAGTGATTACTGATAGAAGGGGAAGAATTTTCATAATCTTTATCTATGGGTTATATGGTCTATAAGGCAACTAATTATTGTTTAGATTTCAGAAGAAGATCAAGATTTATAGAATTGGGCAATATATGTTTAAAAGGAAACCTTTGTGGACCCTATTATTCTTTTTTCCAAATCCATCAGGAGTATTTGTGGGGTCCCCAGAGACAATAGAAAATAAGAATCTATCAGATTCTTTTATCTCATTAACTTCTGCATTTATAGACAGCTGTCCTATAAATGTGTTATTTTGTGATAAACTAAGCATCACACTTAGAGAAAAAAATAGGCCACACACATAAAATTAATGAAACCTAATTAGACTTATTGTTTTTGTAGACAGTAGAGAACTCTGGACAAGTTGATGTAAGATAAAATGTCCTACAGATCTGGCCCTGTTTTCAGTTCTATCTATCCCAGTTATTTGATATTTGATATTCTTTTGAAACAAGTTAAAGGTATTTTTCACATGAGACATAACAAGTATATTTCTTGGCAACTTAAACAATAGTGAGAAAAGTTGATTTGAACAAAATTTCTTTACAAATTAAAAAAAATGTAAGGAAACATTTGGGACAGGAACTGTGACCCTCACATATCTATGGTGGACGTCAAGGTTAGAGGGTAAAGGAAAAGGGAAGAGAAGTATTTGTCTGGCTTCTGTTCTAACAGATTCAGTATGTTTGGGACATTTGAGTCTTGGGCGGATGTAAAACACAAGACAGTATAATGAAGGGAAGAGTACTGCACAAATAGACAATGAAATATATGACTTAGGAGGGCTTTCCTGTGTCTAATTCCAATGGCATCCTTTGTTCCTTAATAGGAATCTGTATTAGCTTTTAAAAATAACTTTTTTTCACTCGATCATTGTAAATGAACAGCAGCTGTGTTTTTTTTAAGTTATTTTTCACTTGTATCTCAATAAGGATTCTTCATACACACACTAGCAAATTGAAAATTAGACCAGAATTTTGCACACTGAGAGTCATTATCTTCAAAAAGCAATTGACCTCTCTAGAGTGCACAAGTACAGAATATTTAAAACTACGACATAGAAACACTGAATTGACAGAACTCTTTTATCATTTATTAATGAAGTTGCTCTCTCTAAGTAATGTATATCTACTGCTTTGGCAACTGTTAAAATAAACAAAGACCCTCAGGCTATTACCAATTTAGATTATGATCACTCAGAATGCCCTGAGTTGAAATAGAGGCTCTCAACATTTAAGACATTGTATCCCCTGATGTAGCTAATTGGGCTTTGTTTGCTACTGTTGCGGGGGTGAAGGAAGCAGGATGAACTTTGATAAAAAAAATACTTCCAAGAATATTTAACTTTAAAATCTAAAATTGTAAAACTGGAAATATAATGTAATAAAATGTTTTAAATGTTAATAAAATGTAGCAGTGATCATATGGCTGAAATAATAAAAATATTAAGATCACATTGCAATAAATTTTTAAAAACACCCCTTTTCTTCCCTTTATTTTTCTTTCCTTCTATATCCTTTTTATCTTACCCTGTAGATTTCTACTTTTCTCACTTTTTTCTCTCTCCCTCACAATTTTTCATTCTCTCCGAATATACTATTAAATTCGAGGGTGTGTGTGTGTGTATGTGTGTGTGTGTGTGTGTGTGTGTGTGTCTTTGTGTGTCTTCTTGGAGTACCTTTATTCTCAACACGTTTACCAGTGGAAAACAGGTTCCATATTTATAAAATTAAATCATACAATGACAGCTCTTAATAGTTACTTCAAAAGGTGGGATAGTTGCAGTTTTATAACATATAACTATATGCAATCACAAAAAGTCCAAATAAACTGTCAGCTCCAAAAACTGGGAAATTGCCAAAAGTAAAGATAGTGACAGTGACTAGCCCTATTTGTCAAAGAAGGTAACCTAAAGCAAAGTACATTTCCTCACAATTCCAAAAACTACAGAAAAAAAGCAACTTTTAAAAAATAAAACTCACTTATAAAACATAAGAAGGTGAGTGAAAGAGGATTATGAATAAACTATTATCTTAGAAAAGAGAAAAATAATTGAGAAGAAGATGAACTTGCAAAGAACTTGGCCTGAGATCCAGCTAAGGTAATCATCTCAACTACTATTTCAAATTGAAACTGATGAGGGGTGGGGGAAAGAGAGAAAGAACAACTCCAAGTGGGATAGTCCCACTGTTATTGTTATGAACATCTCTTTTCATTGGCAATGATGATCAAACCACCGCATTTAAACTTCATGGTAATTCAGAAGATGGAGTTGGGAAGAAGGGCTGAATCTAATCAAAGAAATCAAGAAAAAGAAATCTGTGCAAAAGATATATTTTAAAGATAAATTATAGAGGCAGCTAGGAGGTCCAGTGGATAGAGTACTGACCCTGGAGTCAGGAGGACCAGAGTTCAAATCTGGCCTCAAATGCAACACTTACTAGCTGTGTGACCCTGGGCAAGTCACTTAATCCCAATTGCCTTGCAAAAAAAAAAAGATTTAAACAGGAAATTTCCAAAGGCATAGAAATGATCAAACAAACCCCCTAGAAATATGACTGAGAGGACACCATCCTGTGAGTAAAGTTAAATAACTCAACTCTGTGTATTCATGTGAGCCATCCACTATGTTTGGAATTCAGTCCCTCTTCATCTCTCTTCTAGAATCTATATCTTCCTTCAAGGCTCAGTTTAAGTACTTCCTCCCTTCTAAATCCTTTCCTTGACCATTTCCCATATAGAAGAATTAAATTCTTTCTCTTCTTCAACCACCATGTGTTCCCTTGTATGTGTATATGTTGTATATTCCAGTAGGATAGAAGCACCTTGGGGTCAGGACCTAATTGGTTAGAATATTCCCAGCACAGTGTTTTGTACATATCAGTCATTTAAAATAAATAAATATGAATTGAATTTCTTTTCAATATATTTTTTTTTCACAAAAATGGTCTTTAAATGATTGGGAATGCATACTACATGAGACCTTCTAAAGTAGACTCCATTCTTATAGCCGAACTACTGAAAGGCATACACACGCACACACACACAGCATGTCAGGTATCTCTGTGTTTTTTATTGATTGTATTTTTAAAAAAGCATTTGATGTGGTAGAACAAAAAAGAGCAACATCAGATAAGGTGTCTCCCATGCAGACATTAAAATTATACAAGATTCTTTGACAGATATGATCATGGAAATACCTTTGTTTGAATATCCAGCAAATATTTCCATGGAGTAGTATATAAAATAGACAGACTTAAAGTTATCTAAGATTCATTCCATTCACTTATGTCAGAAGATTTAAGACAGAAATCCGAAGTAAAGATTTTTCTTTTGATGATGAGGTTGTCCAAATGATTTTTTTTTATATGAGAGCATTCTAATTCTAACAAAACACTAAACACTGTTGTTTCCTTGGTGATTTCCCCAACAATGAAAAGAAAATGGTATAACCACTCTCTCTGGAAAAAAAAGTGATTGAAAAATGAAATAGGGGAGAGAATAGGCATTTATTAAGTATCTACTGTGTTGTGTCAAATACTGTGCTAAGAGCTTACAAATATCTCATCTGATAAAGAACAAATCCATATTAAGGAATGTAGATTGTTATATAGTGCATTTATTTAGTTCATCAATAACCATTTATTGGAAAGTCAATTCAGAGTGGAAATGAACTGACTTAGAATTGAGTAGGAAGACATGGGGTTAATCTATTTTGGGGAAATTGCATAATGTTTTCAATGATACCAAGTTGCAATTCTTTCATATTCTCCACTATATAAAACACAAGGTACACCCTAATTCAGCAAATACTTGTCATTGCTACTCTCCCATAATTCCATGGTAAATATGTGAAGTAAATAATTGAGAAGAAGACGAACTTGCAAAGAACTATTTAATTAGTGATGCACCTTGAGTAGGTAATAGCTTGCACCATTAGCCTCACATCCTTTTGGATTCTCCATTATTTAAGATGGTTCAACTAATATGGTTTTCCCTCTTCTTTCCAAATGCAGCGTGTGCTTTCCGGTACAATGGGCTTTCATTTGTCTACCTCATCTACCTCTTGCTCATTCCTCTGTTTTCAGAACCCACCAGAACGACAATGCAAGGTAAGATAATTTATAATTCCTTTCTTTAAAGTGACTTGAAGACAATAAGGAACATAATGTGATCATTCCTGGCTCAAAATCTTACATTGGCTTCCTCCAATGAGCGAGGTGATGTCTCAGCAGAGCACAGAGCTCTTTAAGGGCCCACTGGGTGCTAGCCATGCCAACAGCTGAGATCAGCAGTGCCAGATGGCTCTTGTTCAGGGTGCATGTGTTTGTCACTTATATGGCTATTCTCACCATATAATCTCCGTATTATGCTCCTATTAGCAGGCCTGGCATGGTGCTGGGAATGCTTTGGCTAGTTAAGATTAATTGAAAGCATTGTCAATAAAATGATATTGATGATGTGACAATACTGGCAGGCACATTGGCCTATTGAATTGAAAACCTTGTCCTGGAGAGGGGATGACAGATTTCAGAACATAATCAGAGTGTAGTACTTTCAGAATTCACCAGGCTTAGAATCAGAGACTTGGGGCAGTAGCCGCTATTGTATTGAGTGCCTTGAGTGAACCTCAGCTTATCTGCATTTCAGTTTAGTATTATACCATCTTCTTCCAGTGAATATGTTCTAAACTTTAATTAGTAAAGGCATAGTTTGGGACTGTGGTGACATTTCTTGGGAGCTACATTTGTGAAAAGTCTAGATTACCTCTCCTTCAACTTAGAAGGAAGATAGGTATTATAAAGATCATTTACTGAAAAGGAAAGATAACCTATTCGATTCCTAGTTTCACTGAGCCACAGAAATTTGAGCTGTGAGGATGTCAGGCTGACTCAATCATTTTAGTAATTTGTCCCCTAAGGAGTAAATATTTTGGAGAAAAAGTAATATCCTTAGTTATAATATAAAACACCACATGATGAATTCTCTTGTCTCTCACCCTTCAACTGATGGCATTGGACTAACAGCTTGCAGTATGATCACTGATTTTAAATTTTCTTTCTAAAAGTGGCAACTGTTGATGCTGTGCTTATTTTCTTGTTGCAAGAAGAACCTAAAGCAATAAGATTCAATTATGTTAGTTATATGTATATTATTCAGGAATATGCGTAATATTTGGGAATATGTATATAGGGCTGAGAACATGGAAATCTACGCAAATCATCATTGAATGAATGATACCTACACTTCATGAAGAAGCATCTCTGGCCCCCACTTGCAAAGACCAGCATAGAGTCAATATGACTATTCTAAAAATGTAAGTTAAATAAAGTATAGTGACCTTTGTATGGTCAGTATAAAGAAACAGACTCTATGGTAAGGAGAGCCTGCCAAAACATACCAGTGTGGGTCTACCCCCATCTCTACAGAAAGCTACAGCTACTACTCTCCAAATGGACATTTTGTAGATTGGTCAATATCTTTCTAGATAGATTTAAGCAAACTGGATGAATGCATAATCTGGGGTTCTTGTTAGAATTTAGTTCGCCTATTTACCATGGAATTATAGGAGAGTCAGTAATCCTGTTGCTTAATTTGTAAATGTTCCCATGCTTTGTATGTTATCATAGCAAAAGGAATTTCATCCTGAAGATGATGATAATAATAGTTGAAGTTTATATAATGATTTCGGGCAGATCTATGATTTCGCTGGTATAGGGTAACTCCCAGTGACAAATTCCCTCTACCATTGGAGATCAGCTCCTACTATGAAGCTTATAGTCTTAGGGAGTTGCCTGGGATGATGAGAGGTTGTCGCTTACCCAATATCTCAGCCATTATATGTAGGTAGAGTTGGGTGAGAGGCTGGAAGGACACTTGAATCTCTTGTATTACTGACTCCAAGGCTAGCTCTCTAAAGTACAGAAATCACTAGTTCTGGACACTAGTTCTGGAATCCATAAACACAGGTCGGAAGCCTCAGATCTGATAAATACATTAAGTAAGCCACACCTCAGCTGATTAGTAACAAAAATGCACTTAGTATAACTTGAGATAGCTGGTGGCACAGTAGACAGAGCACTAAGACAAGTATCAGGGAGATCTGAGTTCAAATCCAGTCTGAGACACTGTAAACCTGGGCACATCACTTAAATTTCTGTTTTCCTCAGTTTCCTCCCTTGTAAGATTGGGAAAATAATTGCACCTACCCCACATATTTTTGGTGAGGATACATGAGTTAATACTGTTTTTTTAAGTGCTTAGCACAGTGCATGGTACACAGTGACACAGAGTGCCTGGCACAAATATTAAATATGTATTCCCCTCCCTCTCTTCCCTACCTGAAGACACCATGCCATGTTACCTCATTGCATTAAGGTTTTCAAAGAGTTCTACACATATTATTTCATTTAATCCTCATGACTTCCCTGTGGTATAAGTATTAACAGTATTATTATCCCCATTTTACAGATGAGGAACCTGACACTCATGAAGATTAAGTGATTTGCCTATGTTTATGCAACCAGTAAGTGTCAGGCAGTATTCAACCCTAGGTTTCTCCTGACTCTAACTCTCTTTCCTCCCTCTCTGTTTCTTCTATTCTCATGCTCCTTAGGTAACTAAGGAAGTAATATTAGAATCCTCACTGTAATACTCTGGGTTTTGTTTACGGGGAGGAACACTGAATCAAGGGAAAGTCCTATTTTATCTTCTTCCTCCCCACTGTGAAAATTCTGGAAAAAGTAACTCCTTTCAATGCCTCCACTTCCTTATCATTCAACTTCTTGCAACTTGGCTTCCCTCCCTAGTATTAATCGAAACTGCTTTCTCCAAAGTAATTTTTAGATGGCCAAACTTGATAATCTTTTCTCAACCCTCTCCTTCTTGACCTGTCTATAGCATTTGATATTGTTGATCACCCCTGCCTCCTGGATACTCTTTTTCCCCTTTCTTCCATAACATTGCACTTTCCTAGTTACCCTACTTGTCTAACTACTCCTTTGAGGTTGTTTGCAGGTCCATTGTCTTCCTTGCATTCCCCTGAGACTGTCCCTTGAAGCTCTTTTCTCAGCCCTTCTATTCTCTCTCTACCCTCACTTTTAGAAGTTTAATCTACACCAGTGACTTCAATTATTACTTCTATACCAATAGCCTCCAAATCTATGATCCAACTTCAGTCTGTTCCCTGAGTTCCAATTGCGTAATGGGCATTTTCACTTAATGTTTCACTGTTATAGCAAACTCAACATTAGCAAAAACTGAACACATCATCTTACTAAATAGCATCCCCTCAAATTCCCTACTTCTTCTGATAGCATTACCCACCCACCCCTCCCAGTCACCATTGTTTGAAATCTCAATTATCTTTGACTCTTTCATCTCTTTTATTCTCTACATCTGGTCAGTGGCCAAGACCTGCTACCTTCCTAAAGTTTCTACATCTATCTTTTCTCATTACTACTAAGCTAATTCATTACTTCATCACTCCTTTCCTGGATAATAACTGCCTAACTGGTCTCTCCTCCCCAAGTCATCTTTCCCAGAGACGCCAAAAATAATCTTCCAAATTTGTGGCTGTCACTCCTCTATGTAAAAGCTTTCAGTGGGCTCCCTCTTGCTCATAAGGGAAAAAAAAGAAACAGCCTGGAATTTAAAGATCTCCTTTGACCTCATTTTTCAACCCTATTTCACATTTCTCTCTTTTTCACATACTGTGTTCCAGTCAAACTAGACTACTAACTATTTCCCAGCCTCAGCCTCATTGACAGAATGATGGTATCTAAGAGATGGAAGGGACTTCAAAGACTACCTAGTCTAAACAGTGCCTGAATAGGAATTCCCTCTATAGTATCTCTAATGTGTGATTATCCAGACTTTACTTAATGACCTCCAGTGAAGACAGAGCAGACAACTCTACAACCTTACAAGGTGATAATTTATACTTTTGGATCAATTATAATTGATATGCTAATAATAAAAATAATAAAAAAGTTTATATAATGATTTCAGACTTTTTTCTCCCTTTTATGTAGCCTCAACTTTTTCACATCACTCAATTCTGCTGTCCAGAGCCAACCAGAACAAATTTAATCTCTGTTCCATATGGCAGCCCTTTGAAAACTTGAAGACAACTGTCATTCACACTCCCCTAATCATATGTTTTCCACTTTGAAGAATCCCAGTTCCTTCAATAGATCATTATATGTTATGGTCTCAATCTCAATTGGCCTTGTTTTTCCATGTACAGTACAATTTATGAAAGTTTTTTCTAAAATTTGATGCCAAGAAATGAATAGAATTTGTGATCTCAATGGGGAAAAGTACAGTGGGATTATCACTACCCTTGTTTTAGATACAATCCTTTACTTAATGTAGCCTAAGGTAGAGTTTTTGGCTATTGTGTCATACAAGGTGATTATATTGAGCTTGGAGCTCACTTTTTGAACACAAGTGTAGGATTTTGCTTCCTTCCTTCCACATCTCAAATTTTATCTCATTAGATTTAGTCAGTTGTTTTAGCCTGTCAAGATCTTTTTAAACACTGACTCTTGACATCTAAAACATTAACCATCACTTTTATTTTTGTATTATCTGCCAACAGATAATCATGTTATATGTGACAATCCAAACCATTGATGATGATGTAGGAGGATATGGGACAAAAGATAATTCCCTGGAAAACAATCTAAGTTGATGTTGACCCTAATAATAATCCTTCTTTGAGTTACAGATCTACCCAGCTAGGAGATTTTATCTTTCAGCAGATTTTAGAAATCAGACTGAATTCTAAGAAGGGTTTAAAGGAAATGTTTTGGAGCCTTCCACTGGTGTTATATCTCTCCATCATTTTCACAAATAGATAGGAGATTTTGTTGAATTCTTTGTTGAAATTTAGGTATATTGTCTACAGCAGTCCCCTTACCTAGTTATGTTGTCCAAAATGAATTTGAGGATAATTTGGCATGAACTGTTCTGAATGTGGTTATGTTGGTTATTGATTCCTCTTCTAAATTCCCCTTTGATAATATGTTCTAGAATTGTTTCAAGAAATCAGTCAGGGCTATCAAAAATGTGGCTCTTCTTTCATTCTGCAGCACCACTCCACTCTCTG